ATGGGGGTTCTTATCTGAGTGTGTCCTCTGGTGTGTGATGAGACTGGACCTGTGGTAAAATCCGTGACCACACTCCTTGCAAACATGTGGCTTCTCCCCTGAGTGTATCTTCTGGTGGTTAAGGAAGCCTGACTTCCGGTTAAAGCCTCGGCCACACTGACTGTAAACGTACAACCTCTCCTCTGAGTGTATCCTCTGGTGCTGAAGGAGGACTGACTTCTGTGTAAAACTTCGGCCACACTCTTTGCAAACATATGGCTTCTCATTTGAATGTGTCCCCTGGTGGTAAAGGAGACCTGACTTCTGTGTAAAGCCTCGGCCACACTCACTACAAACATAGGGCTTCTCCCCTGAGTGTATCCTCTGATGCACAATAAGGTTTGATTTCCGGTGAAAACCTCGGTCACACTCAATGCATACATGCAGCATCTCTCGGAAGAGGGACCTCTGATTTGTGAAGAAGTCTGACTTCAGGCCACAGTCTGTTTCATCCTCTTTAGAGCTGTTTAGTGCAAATCTTGAGGTTTCCAACTCCTTCAGTGCTTCATCTGTTCCCACACATGTCGTACTTTGGGTTGAGGTGGGCTCTATTCCCACCACGGTGAGGCCTTCTCTAGGGCTTGCCAACTGTCTTTGGGATGGGCTGGAGAATGCCCTGAAAGTCTTTCTCTCCTCTGTCCTCCCACACACAGGATTGGAAACATCTTCTCTCTGATCAGCTATGTTTTCTCTCCAGCAGCTCTGATCACAATCCTGCTGCTCTGTCTGCTTCTGAAGGCCTTGGCTGGCACCCCCTGGATGGGAGGGATATACTGCACAGGAGCCTGGGAAGATCTGAAGCACATGCTGGTGGAAGAATTGTTGACAGGAGAAAGCCAGAAGGCAGGAGGAACACGGGTGGGTTTCTAGCTTTGGTTCTTCTGGAGAGAGAAAGTTGTCCGTTAGAACAGCCATGAGTGGGGTGACACGGCAGCACTGCATTGCTCGAGGACCTGGGCAGCATAAGCATGTAAGCGTGCAATGACTAGCTGTACGGGCAGCAGCTGGGCAGACGGGCCTGCTGATCTGCGTCTGAAGTTCACAGTTCTAACTGCACACGTGGTGTCTCTACAAGTTGGAATCCACTCAACAACAACAAAAAACTAACTGCTATACTGTAATTGACAAAATATATAGTACATTTTCCTTCTAACCGTTCATTTAGCCTGCATTTTTACAAACGACAGTTTCTTCTGCAGTCCAGGAGCCCTGGTGGTACTGTATATGGGAAGCGCAGTTAAGACAAGGTGTGCCTGTGCACGTGAGAAATGATCATTTGGTGTGTAAAGCCATGAAACTGTTGGGGCATGTGTTATAAAATTGTCAAGTCTCCCAGCCGATCTCCTCCCTCCCTGCCTTCCTCGGATGGCGGCTGTTTATGCTGG